AGATTACAGAGAGAGAGGCACACACATCACTTGTCACTTGAAATAAGGGACGAGAAACAAAAGCTATAAAAAGCAAGGACACCCTCCTGTTGGATACTCTGAAAGACTTATTCCTAGTGCAAAAAAGCCATTCACAGTTGTGGTTTTCAACCAGAAAAACTGCTACCTATAATATCATTTATCAAAATGTTTTTCAAAGAGAGGTTTTACATATTATTTTTTGTTTTGAGACAGGCTTTCACTATGCAGTTCAAGCTGGCCTTGAACTCGCTTTGTAGCCCAGGCTGGCCTTGATCTTGCAGCTGTCTTCCTGCCTCAGCCTCCCCAGTGCTGGGATTACGAGCAGGTGCCACCATGCCTGGATAGAGGTTTTATATCTGTGTAGTAAAGCAACAACATATGCTTAGGAATCTAGCCCAACTTCTGGGAAAGTTGTTTCTAAGTTCGCTTGTAAGTAAAAGTCGTACATTTTCAGAGTATGCTATTAAATCAGTGTACTAGAGCCAGCAGGAGATATCTGTACCGTGAAGAGCAGCACTGGATCAAGGGAGGGTCTATATTTCTGCAAGGTCAGATGGGATGAGAGAAAGGCTTCATAAAGAAAGCAGAAAAAAATCAAACATCATGAAAACAAGAAAAGAGCAATCTTCAAGAGGCAGGGAGGACATAAATGCAACCAGGGAGGGCTAACCAAAGTTCTGGGGAAAGTTAGGTATGATGGCACAGGCCTGCAGCCCCAGCGCTTGGGAGGCAGACACAGGATTGCTGTGAGTCTGAGGACAATGTGGACTACAAAGTGAGTTCAAAGTGAGACCCTGTCTCAGAGAAAAATAAAATTCTGGTAAAATTCTGGGGAAGAAGAAACAATGCTGATTTACAGGGCTAGGCTAAATGTATTTCTTCAAAATGTTGAAGTCTATACATGAAGCTTTTAAATCATAGCAATTCTCACCGGGTGGTGCAGCCTGTAATCCCAGCACTCAGGAGGCTGAGCCAGGAGGATCGCTCTGAGTTCAAGGTCAGCCTGAGCTACACAGTTAAGAGCTCCCAAAAAGAGAAAAAAAAAAAATCATAGTAATTCTTGTTTAGTTGGACAGTACTCGACCGTATTTCAACAAAATCTTTCATTGTGTCTAATGTAGTTATATTTCATTTTGAACTTTGCTCTTCAAACTTTTTATATAAAAAGGTTTTTTATTTACCTAAGGTGCTTTTTACTGGTAACAGAAAAATTTAAGTTCTCTTCATGTCTAGCTGGCAGTTGTGTCAGTATATGTTTTTTTCCAGAGACAATGTATGAATATTCATTGAGAGAGAGGAAAAAAAGATCCTCTATCTCAAATTTTATATCCTAAGGACAACTCACTGGTCCCCTATCCAACCTAAAATATCTACAGAAGCTGTAACTGAGTTCCTGGCAACACCACTGAATTGTCTGACTCAATTCTCTAAGTGGAAGTAAGTTACTTTTAAAAAATTTTTCATAGTATTTTTTCTTTGTTAGATATAGATAATGTATCTTATTGAGGACTAAACCCAAGACTTGCACACTGAGCTACATCCTCAGGCTTTTTTTTGTACGTACTGACTTTGAAACAAGATTCTGCTAAATCACTAAACTGCCTGGGTGGGGATCAAACTTGCAATCCTACCTCAGTCTCTCGGAGTTAGTGGGATTATAATGTAAGCCACCACATTGGGCTCAAGTTCTTTTCTTTTCTTTTTTTTTTGTCGTATTTTTCAGACAGGGTCTCGCTATGCAGTTCAGGCAGGCCTTGAGCTCACTTTGTAGCCCAGGCTGGTCTCGAACTCTCAACAATCTTCCCACCTCAGCCTCCCCAGTGCTGGGATTACAGGTGTGAGCCACTAGGCGCGGCTCCCAAGTTATTTTCTTTCTTTGTTTTTGTTTTTTGGAGACAAGGTCTGGCTATGTAGTTCAGACTGCCCTTGAACTCACTTTGTAGTACAGGCTGGCCTCAAACTTATGGTAATCATCTTGCCTCAGCCTCCCAAATATGCTGGGATTACAGGAATGCCCCACCATGTCCGGCCCTCAGGTTATTTTCTTAGTTGTCAAAAATAACAAGCTATGGGCTGTAATTTTGAAATGCTCTAAGGTTACGCTGGACCCAAACAGAGCTGATCTTTCACAATGGCCACAGGATGGAGGCTGCTTTTCCCAGTGTGGGGCAGCCAGCGGCTGTAACAAAGTTGTCAGTCTCAGGCAGCAGCAAGAGCTAAGAACTCAGTCTCATTCCCTGCTATAGAGCGTACAGCTTGCCTAGCAGCTTCTTCTCCAACTAGTTGGTTACTAGTCTAAATTGGTAACTTTTGACTTAAGTAGCTGGGAAATACTTAAAGAAAAGAAAGGGGTTTAGTTCAGCAGCACAAGTGCCTGCCTGGCAAGAGTGAGGTCATGAGTTAGATCTCAGTACAAAAAAAAAAAAAAAAAAAAAAAAAAAAAAAAACCCAGCCAAAAAACAAAGAGAACCCCAAGATTTTTATGGACACTGGGTGTGTTCTAATACAAGTTTTGGGTTGGAATTGGAATGCTATGGAATTGGTACAACTCCATCTTCCTTATAGAAGCAGTTAAAAGCTGAGCATGGTGGTGCATTCCTGTAATCCTAGCATTTGGGAGGCTGAGGCAGGAGGATAGCTGCACATTTGACAGCAGCCTGGGCTACAAAGTGAGCCCAAGATCAGCCTGAACTGCATAGTGAGACCTTGTCTCAAAAAGCAAGAGAAAAAAAAAAAAAAAAAAAAAAAAAATGAAGAAGCAGTTAAAAACAATGAAAAAAACCCAGGCCCAATGGTGCCTGCATCTAGTCCCAAATACTCAGGAGGCTGAGGCAGGAAAGTTCCTTAACTCACAAATTTGAAACCCACCAGAAACCTTAGTGACATCTTGTCTAAGAAAGAAAAAAAGAAAAAGATGAGGGGAATCCCTGTAATAACTCTTTACATAGAACTAGATTAGAAAGGAACTTAAATTACCCAAAAATAGGAATGTGAAGAATGAGAGTTCCAAGATACTCCTTATAAAAAGAAAAAAAAAAGATACTCCTTGTATCTTCAGCAACAACAAAGACCACAACCATAATCCTGAGAACCCCAGATACAATACAAATTGAAATTTATTAGAAGATTAAAGAGGAAGAAGGAAACTCAGCAGGCGACTTCTGAATATAAGAAATAAAAGTGGAATAGTGGGAGAAACATACCTGTAAGGCCAACACTGTGGAATCTGAGGCAAGACTGTGGGTTTGAGGCCAGCCTGGTTAAAAAGGAGCTCAAAGCCAGCCTGGGCTATAAGGTAAGACCCTGTCTCAAAAACAAAAAACAAAAACAAAAAGAAAAAAAACAAAGAAAAGAAATGAAAAGACAAGACATAGTGGTATATACCTGTAATCCCAGTTACTTAGTAGGCAGTAGGAGTACAAATTTGAGGCCACAAAGGAAACTAAAGAGACACAATCATAAACCAGGCATGGTGGCTCATGCCTATAATCCCAGCAACTCAGGAGGCTGACGCAGGAGGATCATTGCGAGATCCAGACCAACTTGGGCTACAAAGTGAACTCAAGGCCAGCCTGAACTGCATAGAGAGACCCTGTCTCAAAAAGATGAGAAAAAGAAAGAGGCACAATCACAAAAAAAATTTTAAAAATAAAAATTAAAATGAGGCGGGGGTTTAGTGGCATAAGCGCCTGCCTGGCAAGTGTGAGGTCGTGAGTTCAATCCCAGGCACCAAAATAAATAAATAAATAAATAAATAAATAAATAAAATAAAACAGTTAGGAATGTAGATTAAGGCTCCCAGGATTCATTCCCAGCACTACCAAAAAGAAAATGTGGAAGTGGGAATATAGTTTCTCCTTTAAAAATATATAGAACACACATGTACCTGCAACCCTAGCACTCAGGAAGATTGCAAATTCAAGTCCAGACTGATCAACTCACTGACTTGGTCAGATATTGTTTTAAAATAAAAAAATGAAAATAGGACTGGGGAGTAGCTCAGTTTAGAAAGCCTTGGGTTCGCTTCCTCAGGACAGCAAAACTCAATCAATCAGTCAATCACTCACTCAAATCAAACAAACTAGGAGTCGCCTGTCACAAAATAAAAAGGGGATGAGCTCAGTGACAGAGTGATCACTTAGCATGTGTGAGAACTTGGGTTCAATCCTCAGTACTGTAAAAATAAACAGACAGAAAATTTGAAAAATAAAGGAAACAATAAATATTGTAAGAATACCTCTTGACATGGCTGGGCATGGTGGCACACACCTGTATCCCAGCCTCCTCAGGAGGCTGAGGCAGGAGGATCGCAGTGAGTTTGAGGAGGCTGAGGCAGGAGGATCGCAGTGAGTTTGAGGTCAGCCTGGGCTACACAGTGAGTTCAAGGCCAGCCTGAACTACACAGCAAGACCATCTTGAAAAACCAAAAAAAAAAAAACCCACAAAAACAAATAAACGAAATGAAAAGAATACCGCTTGCTATAGAATATAATTTTTAGGTCTATTATATTATTTTTTTTCCACTTGTGATTTTGACTATTAAATTATTTAAAACAATGCCATCTTCCCAAAGAAAGCTCTGTGTCTCACTGAAGTATTTCCTATAAAATACCACACGTTTGATGGCATTTCTTTCCTAACATGGAAGAAGCACTAAAAAGATAAAACAAAACAGTGCTAACCAGCTGAGACCCTCCTTCAGCAGTAAGTCTGGAAAGAGAAGAAAGATTGGCCACAAATGTCCTCAGAGCACCTAACGAACAAGCAACTCAATGAGCACGACAACCCGGGGCTTCCTTTATACCAATCACCCTTCCCCAGCAACTAACCCTAACCCTAACCCTAACCCTAACCCTAACCCTAACCCTAACCCAGCAACTTCCATAGATCCCAGGTTGTGGGTCTTGATTCAAGGGGAAAAGGCTGCCAGAAGTCACCCTCTCAGGGACCCTCAAGCCTGGCCTCACCCCCACACCCACCTCATCATCGCTGTCCGAGGTCTCCGAGTCTGACGAGGCTGCAGGCTGGCTCACAGGAGGCTCCTTCTCCTCAGAGTCACTCCGTTTCCGTTTTGCCAGGGACAGCAGCTCCTGATGGGGCAAAAATGGTAGTATCAGCTTTGTTCAGCAAAGAATAATACAATGTCCACCTTCCCGGATCTTTTCTCCATCTTCGTACTTTCAATTGAAAGACACTGTCATGAGCAGACAAAGTGCCAGTATTCCTGGGCGCTAAAAATCTGCTTCAGTGTTCAATGTGGTGGTTCACGCCTGCTATTTAGCTTAAGGCAAAGATTCACAAATTCAAGGCAAGTCTGGCCAATTTAGCAAGATCCTGTTTCAAAATTTAAAAACTAAAAAGGCGTGGGGATACATCTCAGTGTTCTCTCAGTTCAATACCAAATACTGCTAAAAAGAAAGAGTTACAAAAATCTGCCCCTTGCATCCACGTCTGCTTTGGGTGGCACACCCATAACCCAGGCTCCTGGAGCACTGAGGCAGGAAGGCAACTGATCAAGACCCTTCTCAAAATAAAAAGTAGTTCAGTGACAGAGTTCTTGCCTGGCATGAGTAAGACTCCGCGTTGAATCCTTAAACCCTCTAAAACAAAGCTGAACTGAGGTTACTCCCAAACTGTCACCAACTCTCTCTAAACTACAAAAATATTCAGTCAGGACTGCTGAGAATCATGCTTACCACAGTTAATTTGCTCACTGTTTGAACTGAGATATAACTAATATTCCAAGGTCTCAGATTGTATTTTTTGGTAATTGGTGTTTCTGAGCTGTTCTGAAGCTTACAATCTGTAAGTTTCTATGACCAGGCATGGTGCCACACACCTGTAACCCCAGTACTCAAGAGGCTGAGACAGGACGACTTCAAGTGCAATGCCATCCTGGGCTACATAGTGAGTTCAAGGCCAATCTGAATTACACGGTAAGAACCTATCTCAAAACAAACAAACCCTAAGGTTCTGAGGTAATTTTATATTTTCAATGCTTAAGTCAGGAAAAAACTATGTCTATGTCTAGTGTTTAGCCCATGGTCTGACAAGATGCAATAGATGTGCTGGCCATTCTATCCATATACTAATTTGATAGCCCAACGCTCCTTTTTTCCCCATGTCTGCCTGTCCTCGTGGTTTACATGAGATTAGAAAGGAAGAAAATGTGACACTGAAGGAGTCATGGCTATCACCAGATTCCACTGTCACAAAGGTTCCTGACCTTTATTTCTTCCTACTCAGTTTAGTGACAACTGCAACAGCTGGGTATTGTGGGGCATGTCTGTAATCCCAGCACTCATGAGGCAGGAGAATTGCCATGCGTTTAAGGCCAGCTTGAGCTATATAGCAAAAGCCTGTCTTAAAACAAGACAAAACAAAACAACAACAAAAACTGCAACAAAAGGCTATTTCCTCTGCTAACACCAATACTGGCCCACAACTGTGCCAAGCACTTTTTTCTCAGCACCCACATTTACTCTTCCAAGCAGCCTACAGTAAGTATCCTCATCACTGCCATCTATAGACAGAGACATCAGAGAGCGGGTTAGGCTGGGACTGGCCTAGGAACACAGCTAGCACAGGAGAGAGTCAGGATCTGCAGCTAAGCAGGTGGAATCCTGTCTCTTAATCCAGTCATGATTTGCTAGTCTAAAACTGTTTCCTTTGTGCCAGAAAAGTATAACTAATAAATACCAGCAGTATCCCTTGAAGATGGTGGTGTTAAGCAATTATAGGTCAAGTGACAAAGTGGATTGTAAAATAACAGATTGCTACACTGTATCTGTTTTCTTCTCCAGGCTCTATTTCAGGAACACCCTCCTTCCTGGGCCAGAAGGAGAAAATGACCTTCTCATATTAAATAGCTGGCACCCTTCTTCATGAGCAGCCATGAAATGCTACTCTTCTTCTGCTGGGAAGCTAGCACATCAGCTTGCTGGAAACACAAGAACACTCTCCGTCATGTCGAACAGTAATTTCTGTAGACCGAATTGGAATTATAGCAATAATGTTTTTCTGGTTTTTCAAAACTTGAGCTATAACTTCCACATAGCATATTTTATCACTTCTAATAGATGTGATTGACAAATACATAGTTTAACTTCTCCCACAAGATGCAGAGCAGTTCCACACCACCCCCTAGATTCCTCCATTCTCCTTATGACCTGCTGGTAACCACCACCCTACTTCCTGTCCCTGTAGATCTGCCTGTTGTGGACTGACACAGAGATGGAACCATAGTCTGTAGCCTTTTGGGTCTGGCTTCTTCATTCCCTATAACACACCTGAGATTAATCCACACTGTAGCATGTGTCAGTAGCTTGTCCAGCTTTACTGCTCAGTAGTATTCCGCTATATGGATGCACCACAGTGTTTGCTAGCTGGAAAGCATTTAGGTTGTTTCCATGTTGGGATGATTTTGTGTGCATAAATTCTTTCTTTTTGAGACAAGGTCTCACTATGAAGTTCGGCTTGGCCTCCTACTCACAGCAAACCTCCTGTCTCAGCCTCCCACGTTCTAGGATTAAAGGTGTGCAACATCATGCCTGGCCATAAACAGGTTTTCATGTAAATACAAGTTTTCTTTTCACTTCAGTAAATACCTAGGGATTGGTGAGGTGTATGGTATTTTGTGGATGGCCTTTGCTATTACCTTTTCTCCCCAGGTTACCTTAGCGCAAATTTACCAAAATTAGGAATGTCGGCAAGCAGTCTCTCCCTGACCCCTTGAAGCCCACAAATGCAAATGCTTTAGGATCTGCTGCAATACCAATTCATTATAACAGAAATTTGGACATTCTCTTAGAGTGGTTTGAATATGGCTTGTCCCTTTGAATTCATTCAGCAGTCTCATTTAATGGTATAAAAAAAAAGTGGGTTCGCAAGTGATGCATACCTGTAACTCTGCCTGGCCACAGAGCAAGCTCAAAGCCAGCCTAAGTTACGCAGGAAGACCTTGTCTCAAAAGCAAAAACAAACAAAACAGCTGAAAACATAAACTGACAGGGCTGGGGATTTAGCTCAGCGGCATAAGCACCTGCCTTGCAAGCAGGCGGTCGTGAGTTCGATCCCTGGATCCCTGGTACCGATAAAAAGGAAAAAGACCAAAAAAATAAAAAATAAAAAATCATAACCTGACTATGGCATCCAGAGGTTGGGCTTAAGAGAGCCGTTAGATTATTAGGTTACTAGGATAGAGTCCCCATACAATTGAACCCGGTGACTTCATAAGAGATAAACACACACAGAGATGCACATGAGCTCTCACCATGATGTAACATAGCCAGAACCCATGACACACTGTTGGTCTTTGAGCCTCCAAAACTATGAGTTAAATATACTTTTTCTCTTAATAAAAATATCCCATTTCATTAGCCAGAAGTAGTGGTACATAACTGTAATACCACCACTATGGGAGGTTGAAGCTAGACAGTTGCAAGATCCACCTAGCCTGGGGAGAGTAGTGACTTAGCAAAACTCTGTCTCAAAATAAAAAATAAAAAGAGCTGGTGACTTAACTCCATGCAAAGGCCCTGGGTTCAATCCTCAATATTTCAATAAATAAATAAATTATCCTACTTCATTAATGTAGTGAAAAGCTGATTAATATATTTCTCAATCGAAACCTTTCCTGAAATATTAAATACATTCAGTAAATATCAATTAGAAATTACTGTAACTAGCTGGGTGTGGTGGTGCATGCCTGTATTCCCAGCACTCAGGAGGCTGAGGCAGGAAGATTGCCATGAATTCAAGGCCAGCCTGCAGTTACTTCATAGTGAGATCCTCTGTCAAAAAGATTTTTTAAAAAAAGTTGCTATAACTAGTGCTTACTTTAGCAGCACATACAATAAAAGTTACTGCAACTAGAAGCACGGTGACACATGCTTATAATCCCAGCTACTCAGGAGGCTAAGGCAGGAGGTTCTCAATTAAGACCTTATCTCGGGGCTGGGGATTTAACTCAGCGGCATAAGTGCCTGCCTTACAAGCAAGCAGTCGTGAGTTCGATCCCTGGTACCGGTAAAAACGAAAAAGACAAAAAAAAAAAAAAAAAAAAAAAAAAAGACCTTATCTCAAAATAAAAAAGATGCAGCTTAGTGGTAAGAGTGCATGGAGGAAGCCCTTGGTTTAAGCCTCAGTATTAAAAAAAGAAAATAAACTGTGGTAGCCTCCTATTGTGCCAGCACTTCTTAAAAATTACTAAAACTAAACCTGGATTCTGGCACAGGCCTATAATCCCAAACTGGGGAGGTCTACATAGGAGCATTGGGAGTTTGAGGCCAACTTGTACTATGTAGTGGGAGACCCTGTCTCAAGAAAAAGAAAACAGCCAGGAATTTAGCTTAGCGGTATAAGCTCCTGCCTTGCAATCACACAGTTGTGAGTCTGATCCCCAGTACCAAAAAAAAAAAAAAAAAAAAAAAAAAAAAGGAAATAGAGAAATTTCTGTCTAGTATTAGGACATTAGTAATGCCTACTGGTTAAGAGGGTCCACGGTACCCTAAGAATCTTACAAACAGGTCTCCTTCATCAACAAACTGTACCTGATACACAGCCTCTCTTCTGCGCTACAGTAAATACCATACTAACTCTGCAAGGGACCAGCAGAGACCTTCTTCACGCTGAGGAGACGGGGAGATGTCCTTGCAGGTTCTGAGAGCTACAGGAAGTCACTGAGAGAACTCCTGGGGGGGCCACTCTTTCTAGTTTGGTGTTTTATTCCAGAACAGCTGGACACACCAAGGTATAGTGGAAATGTAGGCAAACCACTGGGAGATTAGTCAGGGGTGATCTACCCTGCACTGCACCCCGGAGAGCTGGGAGACTGGTGCAGGCACAGGCACAGACCCAGCTGCAGCCCTCACAGTTCCTTGAACCATGCTGTGCTGGGAGAACAGATCTCTTGTGTTCAGTGAGTCCCTCTCACTGCCTATCCTGATCTTCATCCCATCCACTGCAAACCTTTCCCACTTATCTTCCCATTTCTTTAGGGGAATGGAGTGTGGGATACCGGCGTAATAGATCAAAATTAAACTAAACTAAAGTGTTTCTATTTTTTGAGACAGGGTCATACCATGCAGTC